AGTATAGTTGTTATATCTTCTTCCCCCCCCCCCGGTTTTTTTTTTTTGTTATTTATTTTTTTTTTTTGACTTATAAAGAAATGAATTTATTTCTTACAGTTTTGGAGGCTGGGAAGTTCACAGTCCAGGGGGGTGCATCTGTTCAGGGCCTTCCTGTGGGTGGGTGGTGACTCTTCACAGCAATGCAGGGTGTGTCACATAGCAAATGGCTTGAGCAAGAGAGAGCTAACCTGCTCATTCACTCTCCTTATAAAGTCATCAGAACCATGCCCATTACCACCCATTAAGCCATCAACTTATGACTCCTTGAGTGGATCAATCTAGGGCTTGGTCCTCACAATCTAATCACCTCTTAAAGGCCTCACCTTTCAATTATCACAATAGGATTTCCCACCCTTGACACTGTTACAGTAGGGATTAATACATCAACCTGTGGGGGACACAATGCAAGCCACAGCAGGGACCCATTCCTGTGTCATTTTAGCATTTTTAATGACTCTACACTATGCCATCTTATGCAAGTTCAGTAATTGACCTTACTGTACCCAGTGTTGGAGAAATAGATTATTTCCAAATCTTTATTACCGCAAATCACATTGCAGTGAACCTCCCCTGGATGTGCCACTCTCAAGCTGTGGGTTTGAAGGAAGAGGGATAAGCTCTCTGAGCCTCAGTTTCTTGACCATAAAATATTTGCTCTACCTCCCAGAACTGTGGAAAGAATTAAGTAAGGTAATGTAATAGTATAGGTAAAGTGTTCAGCAAATAACATATCCAACAAAGGATGGGGAAGATGAGTACATGACAATGACAACACCCCAACTTCTTACAGATCCCTGATATTTTTTTTTTAAATTTTTATTTTGTCAATATACAATGTATATGATTTTTATGACCCATCACCGACACCTCCCGCTCTCCTCCCTCTCTCCCCTCCCCCCCAAGAATGTCCTTTCCGTCTACTTGTTGTAACAACTTCAAAAAAAGTATAGTTGTTATATCCTCTTCCCCGCCCCCCCCCCGGTTTTTTTGTGTGTGTGTGTTTGTGGGAGAATTAATTTGATTGTTTTTTTAGCTCCCTCCGATGAGTGAGAACTTGTGGTATTTCTTTTTCTCTGCCTGATTCGTTTCACTCAATATTATTCTCTCAAGGTCCAT